AGTTTCTTGCCTTCTCTGGCATCTCAGTAACTGTTTCAGTCAGAATTTGGTCGGCATGAACGCATGACGGAGTAGGAGACCTGTGTGAGCTGGCGGGAGGAAGGTGCTGAAGAGCTGCACAGGCTGCTTGCTGCTGGGGGCGATGCGCAGCTGGGCAGGGTGTCTGGAAGGGAAGACAGGCTTAAGATTGAGAGAGGAACGACACACTTGACCCTGCGTCAGCCTCTCCCCTGGAAACCAACTGGAGTGCAGGCGTGTGACACACCTGGCCCCAAGGTTGCTTCTTGCAGCATCACCTAGCTTGTTTATGCTGGGGGTGGAACCCAGCTGCCACAGGGGCCCTCATCTCAGACCTGCTGTGTCCAGGGGTCCTTGAACTGATGAAGCTGAAGGCCACCCTGGACTTTGCTTCCAGAACCATGTGAATACAGGACAATAACTAAGCCACAGAACTGATTTCCTTAGCATGTGTCAGCTTCCTCAGGAGGATTTAAAAACTACCATGTACAAAGCGTTCTCCATATATGTGGACTAAAATCCAGTGAGCCCCTACCACCAGTTGGAAAGTATGCAAACGTGTGTGTGCTCAATGTGGAAAATCTGGAAAATACTGCAAAGTATAAAGCACAAGCAAGTAGCTGCAGAAAACCTATTAATGTGCCACAATTCTGGAGTGATTCTTTCCATCTGATACAAAAGCTGTTTTTTTCTTTCTTTTCAGCACTGAGGAGCCAGGCTTGAACCCAGGGCTCTTCACATTGAGCTATATCTCCAATCATTGTAAAGCTACGACTTGCAATCCTCCTGCCTTAGCACCCTGGAGTGCAGGCGTGTGACACACCTGGCCCCAAGGTTGCTTCTTGCAGCATCACATGGCTTGTTTGTGCTGGGGGTGGAACCCAGGCCCCTTTGCAGACAAGGGTCTACCACTCAGCTCTAGTTCCAGCTGCAACACATGTTCTAAGTCTGGCCTTTTCTCTTATATATTGTGGTTCTCCTATCACTAACAATTTTGTTTTGTTGAACAGGGATTGAACTCAGACCCTTGTGCTTGCCAGGGTCTTATTCTACTTATTCTACTGAGCCATCTCCCTGGCCCCATCAGTGATCATTTTGGATGGTTGTGTCATGTTCCATTACGTAAATATACCAGGGTATTTTTATTACCCTCTTGTTAGTCTTCAGATTCCCTTTTGTTCCCACTTGGCACTGACCAACTCCTGGCTTCCATTTCTTGGACGTACTTTGTACTTCCTACAAAAGTTATGACTTTCATATCTGCCACGAAGCACCATTCTTAGAACATGCCCAGAGCAGCCACTTCTGATCCAAGAGCGAAACTTTATTCTAACGATGTGTGATGTTGTCTATGGGTACATAACAAACATACACCCGCATTCAAGAAATACATTTCCCTGTATGTGATTTCACCTATTTATGGCTGGCCTGGAACTGTAACCCAAACTTCTTGACAAATCTTTCACAGAAGATTTCTAAGATTTCTAAGAAACAAGTTGGTGTGGAATAACTTTCAAATAGTTAATATCTGCATAGGAGAACTTTTAAAAAATCTTGTCTTTGTTTTGGTTTTTTTTTGGGGGGGAGGGGTGGTCCAGGGAATTGAACTCAGGACCTTATACTTGCCAGCCATGCACTTATGCTGCTGAGCTATATCCCTGGCCCCAAAATCTTGTCTTTGAATTCATATTATGTTGTCACAAACATGTACTAGTATTTTTTTAAAATCCTTTTAAAACACTACAAGTGCATCATATAACAGTATAAAAACTCTACTTGACTATTCATAATGAAATTTGAAGTTTATGTTAGGTAGCATTAACTGGAAACTCAGTGCGTATTTGAGCTGACTGCATCTAATTTGTGCTCTACACTGAGCATCCCCCACATATGTGAAGACTGAAAGTTAGGTGTGGTGGGAACTGCAGGAGTACATAAAACCCATACATGTCCTTTGTCCTTCCAGGAGTGCTGGGGTAGGAACAGAGACAACAGAAGTAGAAACTTAAATGCAAACACAGAATAAGACAGACTGATTTTGAGAGGCCAAAAGAATCTGAAGGTTTTCATGACGAGGTACAAGTTAAGGGCATTGGGCTGAAGGTGGCTTAGTGGTAGAGCCACTACACAGCACACAGTGGGCCTGCCAGCCCTAGCCAGGAGTGGGTTTGTTAAGGGCTTTCAACAAGCCTTTGGTAGAAAGTGAAGAGGTGAATGGTAAGTGGTAGGTTTGCCTTGGCCCCAAGTCCTGGAGTGGCTGTTTCAAGCTGCTAGTTTGTGTATAGTTGTCTCCTGCAAAGCCTCATGCAGTCATGGGGCAGCTTCTGGAATTTGTGACTCTTTTTTTTGGCGGTACCAAGGATCAAACTCAGATCTTGCACTTGTCAGGTAGGTATTTATGCCACTGAGCTCTCCCCCAGCCCACTGATTGATCCCTGATCCAATGCTGGGATTGCAGGTGGGAGTGCTACATCCTGACCCTGGAGTAATCTGCACTATAGTGTAAGGAGGGGAGAGAGGCTACCTAGCTGTGGGAGCTGCTGCTTCTCCCTTTGCTCTCTGCTGCCACCATGAATGGCTGCTCTGTGACATGTGCCACTCTGCCTTGGAGCCAGCTGAGTACAGAATGAAACCTCAACAAGCTATGAACTAAATAAACCTTTATTTCTTAATTTTGGCTGTTAGGTATTTGTCCCTGCAATGAGCAAAAAGTAACTGAGATACCAGCCATCCAAGCCTGGGGACAATGGCTCTCCTGCCAGGTCATGGACATATGCCCCACAAAGGCTACAACATGCCCACAAGGGAATGTAGGCAACTGCTATGGGCGTAGGCTCAGCTCTTCTCACTCCCTCTGCCCAGTCCTTTTTTTAAAATTTATTTTTATTTATTTATTTATTTATTTATTTAGTGTGTGTGTGGCCAACTCAGCCCACCAGGGGGCGGGGCTGGCTGGCATGTGGTGCTGGGGGATTGAACCGTGGTCCCTGTGCTTTGCTTGGCTTAGCTTGTTCTAAGTAGGTGCTTTAGACCACTGAGCCATCTCACCAGCCCTGCCCAGCCCTTCTGATGAAATTAATAATTAATAAATTAATAAATCCAAAGTAAACATATTGTGAAAATACATTTTAATACAAAAGTTTTGAACATCAGTATTGCATTTAGAAAATACTTACAATGATATTTACAATGATAGTATTTACAATCTACCTTATTGTCATTTTTGTGAACAAAGAGATGACCAGGTACATGGAGTTAGCTACAGTCCCTTCTAATACAAAGCTGATAACTATGTAGCAAAAGGATAAGAGCTGGAAGGCTATTGTGAATATCACAATCAACTCCAATTCCTACAAATTCTTGGGGGGCTGAAAAATGCAGGTTAATCAGGGCTCAGGAGGTAAGTGTGTGGACCTCCATTTACACTGCAACTCCCTCAATCTATTGGCCTGCCCTTGAAGTGGATAACAGTCGGCCCAGCCCAAAGCATGGCAGCACCAGTCCACAGCAGCTGCTGTCACTTCACTGCAGACAGAGCTCATGACCTACAAATCACTTGGATGACTATCAGCTGAGAGTGGTTAAGAAACTCTCAAGCAGGTGCCTGAGGCCTGGGCTCATGAGTGCTCCGGTGAGGACAGCCTCGGCAGGGCAGAATTGTGGTTGGCCCGAAGCCTGTCTCACAATAGGGTGGATGAGAACAGTGAGGAGTGGCTCTATGGTGAGCCACCAGATGGTTCAATATGCTACTGAAAAATGGAGTCAAAGTGAAAAAGCCAGGGCTACAACACAATACCAGTCACTTCCCTTACGGCTAAGCAGCCAGAAATGTCGCAGCATTTTCTGGATGAGATAAGGCTTATGTGGTTTTATGACAGATAGCAGTAG